AAGTACGTATTATAAACAAAATTTGAAAGCTTCCGAAAGCAAGAAAAGCACAGTCACTGATATGTGTCAAAGACGAGTGTTTCTTCGTCGGCGCGACCTCGTCTCGTAAGCTCTTCTAATGATCGGTCTTCAGACAGAACTCTCGCGCGCGAGTTCCATTACGAACCAGTAGTCGCAAGGTTTAATCCCTTTCCACGAGTTTTCGAACTCGTATAAGCCAGTCACGAACTTTCCGACGACGTCGCGTCGCTCGCGGACCAAAGTACTCGGCATGACTCACGAATCCTATACCACGAGCGAGACGAAAGTTTGTATGCAGCTTACGATGTTCCTGTACGCATCGCGAAAATAGACGAACGCCACGGGCGTTTCCTCAATTTTAATTCACAAGTTGGTATACAAGCACTACGCTCGTTGAGATTATCTTCTCTCAGCACACAAAAAATACTATTTAATTAAAGTTAAAACTTTTAATTTATATATATATATATATATAATATTTATACAAATTGATATATAGAAATATAATGCTTTTTAATTCACACAAAAAGATCGAGATCGTCAATCATGATGTTGAAGATTGCGTATATCACTTAGTGTTCCGGTGATTTATTATACAAACCCAATACCATCAATCTCCAATAATTGACTGCAACATCGGGTAAACATGCTGTTATTAAAATCTCATTTTCGAGAACGGTTAAGATTGCGCAAACCTCAATCGTGCCGCGAATTGTATGCGAATTTTATGCGTGAGAGGGAAAGAGAGCGGTTACCCTTAATGTTCAGATAATGCGCGACCTTTAACGCTTCGTTGCTGACTGGGAACCTGTAAAAGTGCGATTTAACGCAGCAAATCGTTCTCGCAAGAAGTATGAGAGATCTAATCGCGAGAGTTGCGACGGTAATTTTCCTACGCCAACGAGCAGAATAATTCGCGCAAAACTTGTGGTCGCACCTTGGAGCCCGTGGACTCGGGCGATGCGATGGCTGGGAAATGGTGGAAAATTAGAAACGGTAATCAAGGGAACTGTACCATTCGAGGCTTGGCGGCTGCCTTAACTTAAAAGAACTATCCTCGCTTTGACAACCCCGAACTTTTCATCGTTCAACGTGCAATTCTCTTCTCGTAGTTTTGGCGCCCGATTCTCGCGCGAGTTTGAGGTGCCGTCTTTCAGGGAGGAGGAACGAGCTATTCCCTCCCCCCCCCCCCCCCCCCCCCCCCCCCCTCCTTCTTAACTTTCCGAATTCGGTCTCTTCGATCTTACAATTCTCTTTAATACGAGAGGGGCTTTTCGTGGCCCCTTTCTCCCCTTCTTTTTCCCCACTTGTCTCCGGGGACATTCATAAATCATTTTCTTTCGTCGCGAAATCCATCTCCGCGCCCCGCGATTATCCTCCTAGCAACGAGAGCAAGATGGAACCAGCCAAGGAATTATTTTCTTTCGCAACCTTTGTCGGATGGTGGAATGCACTAAGCCATTCGTCGACGAATCGCACTTTACTAAGTCTTGAAACAAATGAGCATATCCGACATGAAATTAAATCGAGTCCGCTTAAGCAAGGTTATCGAGGATTATCAAACATTCTTTATATTCTATAAGGCGCAAATTCGAAAGAGAGATTTTACCGTTCATCATTTATCTTTCAACGCGAACTAACCGGGTGATCATTACATTTACTATTTTGTTATTTCATCAGCATATATAAATACACATATACATATTTCCGCACCAAATAAATAAATAAAGCTTCAGAATGAGATTCGGTTTAATGGACATCTGCATGTATTTAGGTTAGATAAGAGTGTCTTTTAAAATGTATCGGAAAGTGAATCAATACAAATGTGACATTCAAGTGGCGTCAGTTATTTTTGCATGAGACCGTAAAATGATGTATTTTCGAATATATGAGTACCCTGTGTTAAAATCGGAAAAAGACGATACTTGCAGCACTGCTTAATTTCGCGCGCGCGCGCGCGCGCATATATATACGATAATTATTTGATGTATGTGTGTGTATACATATATGTAACCTCCAAGATAGTTAATAACGATTTCATGTCAACGCAGCACGCGGTTCCGGATAGAATATGCAATTACGATCGCCGTTATTCTCGTCGCGTCCTGTCGTCGTACGTAGCAGAGGTAACAGATCCAACCGTCGGGGCGATAAATCGCGAGATTTATGTCGACAAATTTGACAACAAACCGTGGAATAGCACTCACTGATCCCGGAGAACAATGCCGAATCGGCGTCTGATTTGCATTTATGAAAAGGGCAAAATACCCGCTGTCCGTATTAATTAACTCTCTGTAGCGAGAGAGGTGTTATTTATGGAGAATAATAAATCGCGGCGTCCGATATAGCACACAAAATATCATTGGTGGAAGATCGCGGAAGAGACCTGAAGCTGGTTAAAATTTTAGTCAACGAGAATAGAGATTCAAAAACGAGTTTAAATTTCATATTCGTAACTGTATCCGTGGCACACTGTCGCGCGACCTGATATTCTATCGCCGTCGTCTACTTCGACCACTGCCGTTATCTAGAATCCGGAGACGTACGCTTCACCCACGACGACGAGAAATTCATGGCGTGAGCACGCAAGCACGACAACTATGCCCTCGATTGTCGTCTCGGCGGAAAATCGAGCGAAAGGAGAGACAAAGGGAGAGAGAAGTAGGGAGACGAAGAGTGAGAGAGAGAGAGAGAGAGAGAGAGAGGAATAGGAAGGTGGGGCATTCGCGAACACGACGAACGGAAGTCGGCCGCTAAGGTAGCAACGGACTCTATTCCGGGCTTCCCGATTCCTGAAAGCCCGAGGGTGCTGCAAGCTCGACTCTATTGATTTCCCGCGTTAAAGGGAAACGCTCGGTACGCGTAGGCTTTGTATATTGAAAATCTAAACGCGAGACCCCCGGCAACAGTTTCTTCAATATACTTCTGTTGTTTTCCTTCTCCTTCATACGATCATTTATATTTTATGTTAAAAGTAAGTTAAAAAGATACCTTATACCTTGTATATTTCAATATCAAAATTAATTAATTACTAATGTGTCAAATTAATTATTAACACAATGAAACTCTCTACCTTTAACAGATTTCCAAGGAGACAAAATTAAAAAGTTTCGATGTCTCTCAAATATATTTTCATGTAATAAACTTGTTTAAAATAGAAATTTTTTAGTCTTAATGTGTTTTCAAACGCGATTTGCGATTTTTGGTTCCATATTTATAATAATTTATAATTCATTATACAGTTCAATTCTGGAATGTTTGAAAATGAAATTTCAGTTTTATTTTATAATAGAAGTATCAGGGCAATTGTTACGACGTAATAAGACTCTTTCGTTTAAGATATCTCCGCAATCGATAATCGATGTCCTATTTTCCGTACCGCCGCGTATCTATAAGCTTAAATAACACAATAACCGCTGATAACGGTTCCAAAACAATGATACTGATACTTTCGCGAGCACACATCCCAACAATATCGATAAATTATTGTGAACGTATAGAAATTTAATGAAAACGTCTGGTAAGGTAAAGTGTACCACATTCTCAAATCGCGATGTAAATCGGTAAATCTCCTACCCTACTATTCCCACCAATTGAATCGTCGTGTACACAATCTGACGAGAGTGAACGACGAGAGTGAGCGATCAGAAGATGCTTGTCTCGTGCATTCACACGTCAACGTGATCGTGAGCGTATACGATGAGAGGTACGCGTTGCGAAAGCATACCAAGGCACGATTACCGGCGGTGGTTTCGTTTTGGAATGGCACATCGACTCGATTCCAATTACGGTTTACCATGTGACGGCCGCAAGCGCTATCGTCACGCGCGAGGAAGATGTTTGCTTCCCCGCGAGATTATCGCGCCTTAATTCGTGACTCTCGGTCTCGCGCGAATCATTTCGCCGATAAATGCCTCGCAAAACATCGTCTACTAGTTACTGCAGCGTTGCAGAAATTTAGATTAGCGCCAGCTCAACGGCGCCGCCATAAATACTGGACGTCGTAAAGTGCATGTGTTAGTGCAAAACCATCTTTTTACTTTTTCCTTTTCTTTTTTGCATTTAGGTACTAATTCAAACTACGAAAGAGCACGTTTTAGAGAGTGAAATTAAAGCGGAAAATTCGAAAGATTCAAAACTCGAAATAAATGTGCTCTTTTACTTATCCACGTGAATTATCATACGTGCATATATTGCAAATCCGAATATGTACGCTTATAAAAGAAGTGTTTAATTTTACGATATTAAAATGTTTTAAACTGTTTCAATAAATAAAACACTACGTGTTTAGATTCAAAAGGCTGAAATGTTTAAAATGGAAATATCTTTTATTATTAAACGTTTATTTTGAGATGTTTTAAAAGTAAACATTTTAAACGCACTGCACTTTTCACAGTGTGATAAATACCCTTACATACATGCATGATTCAGTTTTCCATGTAAAAATAATATTGTACTACACGTTTAAACAAATTGAAAAAAACACTATACTTCACGTTTAAAATGTTATAAATCCATTTTTGTGTATGCAGTATATGGTAATGCGTGTTATTTTTACACAAAAAAAATTAAATCTTATATATATAAAGACATTTATTTCATATTTATATTTGATATTATTGTACACACGATTTTCTTTTTTTCTTTACTGTTACTGATGTATAAAAAAATATGTGACTGAACTTAGAATAAAACAAACATTCTCAAAATTAAATTTGCAAAAATTTATAAGTTATTAATGCATTTATTGAGCGCACAAATGTGCGGTCATAAAATAATTTTATATAATATGAAAAGTAGGTTGCCCGAAAAACATGGATTAAGTCAATTTCGTTATAACGACTTAAATACATTATGTACATGAGGGTATTATATGCTGAATATAAAGGCGCGTCAATACACACCTACTGTTTACGATACTCGCTGATCGTAAACTATGCAGAACGTTTAATAATAGAACGAAATTGGATTTCACTCACCACAACGAGCGCGTGCGTCAGAGCAGTCGATGACCTCGACCTCCTTGGTGTCATGCCGACGACCTCGCCCCTCATGATGCTCTCGACGACTGCATAGAAGAGGAAAAAAGCGAAAACGTTTTCAGTATGCTTCACAATTATTCCACTTATTCAACAATATTACTAATAAAATTTTGATTAAATATACATAATTTGGGAAATTTTAAAATATTCGCATAGCAATAATATCAAGTTAGGCAACATTAAATAGCGCTTGGAAGAAACGACATTATAAATAACATTTAATAAATTATTTAATACATTTCTAGTTTTTTAAATAATGTTAAACAGCATTTATGAACAATAAAATTGTTTTAATATTATTGCTTTTACACAAAAACTAAACTTTATTGAAAAAAAATTCTTTTATATAAATTTAATTAATGTGCTATTAATTAAACGTATATATTTTTACAAATAAAAAATAGATGTACTGGCCATAACGGTTGAAGCTGAAACTTAATGTTACTATATATAATACATATATGTACTTGCATATATATCATATTTGTAATTAAAGCTGCGCACTGAAATCTTCCCGGACTTGAAAATACAGCTAAACTACTGAAATATTTTCACAATTACATTTTCATGCTTAATAGGCGTCTGTTAAAGAGATCTTAATATAATAGAAATCTGAAAATTTTTTAATTTACTTATTGCGAAAAGTATTATCTCGGTCGGAATTAAGTAATATTTTTCGCAATAAGTAAATTAAAAAATTTTCAGATTTCTATTATATTAAGATCTCTTTAACAGACGCCTATTAAGCATGAAAACGTAATTGTGAAATTATTTCAGTAGTTTAACTGTGTTTTCAAGTCCGGGAAAATTTCAGTGCGCAGTTTTAAATGACTACAAATATGGTATATGTATATGCAAGTACAAATATGTATGTACATAATTTACATTAAGTTACAATATTTAAAGAACATTAAGATCCAGCTTCGACCGTTATAATCAGTATATCCTATTTCTTATTTGTTGAGTTTTAAAATGAACTGTCCAATAAGGTTTTTATATCGTATATATTTTATCTCATGCTATGTTTCTCACCTCCGTCGCCAATCAGCCGCATTTGTACTAATGTCGGATCCTCGTTGTGTTCTTCAAGGACTGTATCGTCGGTGACAGTCAAATCCTGAAAGAATAATCAATTAATAATCAGAAGGGAAAAGTCATGAGAAATTAGTATTATTAAAACCTGGACAGATCTATAAAACGCGTTTAACGTTAATTGTCCCATTAATAATTTTCTTTCTATTCACATTCTTTGCTATTAATTCGACTGATAAATAATTTGCTAATGGCAGCGACATAAATCGAGACGCTCAATTATTTTCTAGGTTCGTCGATCTCGAGTTTTACAAACGATTTCATTCGCGGTTTCGAAAAATTGATTGCATAATGGATGTCGATCGATTTCAATTCTTCCAAGAAATTTCGTGACTCGTCCGACTAGCCACGGAGTGTTTATCTACCAATTCGCTAGTCAGAGATTGGACGATCGATGGTCTGGTTTCTCGTTAAGATTCGTCACGATCAACGCCTCTACTTAACTGATCAGCTTAACTGACCAGCGGCGAGACAGAGTCACCGAGTAGCAAGAAACGAGACGATGTGCGAGCGCGATACAGTATCTATATGTGCGGATTTCTCTGTCGATACGATTTCCGACAAATTCTGTTTTCATTTCATTCTTATTGACAGTATCGACACTTTATAAGTAGAAAATTATATAAATTCGTACAAAATTCAGACTTTATCATATAAAAGTTCTGATCGAGACTGTAACTCAAAATGCACAACCGTAATGCAGTTAATAATAATACTTAAAAAGGATATGTCTGCAAATAAGTCTTAGCTGGAAAATTTTCTCTTATTACCTTTTATTTAGAATTAAAATACAGAAAAACAGTAAAAAGTTGCGTTCACTTGACGCAAGACACTACCGCGTCTCTTGATTTTATTTTTTATCTACATTTTCTATAACACATATTTTTTCAAATTTTTGTTATACTGTAATCTATTATTACGGCCTAGTTTCTGTTTATCTAATAATAGTTGAGGTTTTAAGTTTCTAAGCAGCATCAATATCGATATCTCAACCTTCTAAATGAACTTTTACTTTTTGCATCTTGTTTTACTATTGTTCTATTTTTTTTTAACAACAGACTACACATTATTTATTATTCTTCAATACATACATAAGGATCAAATAAGGCTCGCAATTTTGCATTTATGTTAATTCGTTTTACAAAATGGAAAATAATACCATACGTCAATTGTACTCTTGCATGTTCTTCATCATCGCCTCACGATATTTCATTAGTCTTTGAGAGATAACGTTAGAACGAGGAATATTCGAATCAACTTCAATATAGACAAGCGATTCGATTTTGCTGATATTGGCTGATACTTCCGAGAAATATTCGAGACAGACGTACATACGAAGGGGATAAAGAAACTGAAAAGAAAAAGCGCGCGAGCGACAAAAGCTCCCTCAGACAACTTAACCGATATTTTATGTTCCTTCGCCCTTCGATCTCCGCGCCTTTTCCGGAACATTCTCTCGTCGCGGACTATTTCAAGGATTTAGTTTTCCAATAGGAATGCTGCGCCAGTGCCAGGATAAATTATCGGAAGCTTTCTCACCAAGAGACAAGACGAGTAGGATTACTTTTGCGACGACACGAGTATGTCGTTCGTTTCTCTATCTTAGTACCTTTAACGACAAAAATATTAAGAGTATCGGCCGAAGAAAGAAAATTAGCTCATTTAAATCACTTCAAAATGTGTTATCTTTACTGAATAATGATGACAAATCAGAGTTCAAATAACTTCGCAACATAACGTATCTTAAATGTGATGAAAAAATTATATGTCGAAATTAACTTCAAAAACATTAATAAAATAAATATTAAGAAATAAAAATTTAAAAAATCCGTTTATAATAATAAAATATGATAAAGAAAAGGTTAAAACATATAAATAATCAATTTATCTATAGAGTTTGAGAAAATTTAGAACGTCTTAATTTAAATTATTAGATATATACATACATGTACATTATATTATATATTACATATATAAAATTATATTTAATCTTCCATAATTTTCCAATGAAGATACATGAAATTTCACTAAAAGTAGCCTTATAAATGTTCACGACATGCTTCTAATTGCTTAATATTTAACAAATATGTCATTTTACAGGATTGTCACTAATTGGATATCTTTTTAAAATACCGGCTTGTCATTAATTTGAAACCAATGAATTAATTCAGATTAAGAATAAATGCTATCTATATATATAACTATAGTACAATATTGAAAAAATTTAATTTTCTTTTTTTTGTATAGTTTCTTTCAATATCAATTGACTAAAGTAAAACCGAATTTTTACGTTAAAAAAGAGATACTATATTAATTAAAATAAGGGCGAATTTCCTAATTTCCGCGATCTGCTTAAACAATATTTATGCAAATCGTTGCCTTCCAAAAATATCGATTCATATATATTATACATATAACTTTTATTAAATTTTGATAAGAATTGACACATTTAGAATCAAATAAAGATCAAGCAACTCACAGAATATATAGGAGTCCTTCAAGAATTGCCGCAGAACAGTTCTAATCTACTGATAATACGACTCTGTAATATTTATTATTAGTATCTTGTTAACTCACTTTAGTGGACTCGTTGTAACCGACGATCACGGCTGTGTACCACTGTGTAGTGCCTTCCGCCCGATAAACTTCGACCCTGAAACCGACCAGGACGCTGGGCGTAGTCAACAGAATCCTCTGACCATCCTGCATCTCGGCCCATCTTCTAACGGCGTTTCCCCAGGGCATTGCGCCCTTAGTCAGCTCCCAGTCCTGCTGTAAAGACGAACAAAAAAGACCGAGGTTGAAGCTTCGTCCGTAGAACTTGATTAAGAAGAGCGGACTGTTCTTCTCTCCTCGAGAAGCTGTCTGCGATTTTGGAAGGAAAAATAACGAAGGGGAAAGAACCCGCGCAATTTGATAAGAGATAACAAAGGGGATAAAAATTTCACGAAATGCTGAGCGCACGAAATTTTACTCTAAAAACAGACTGCGATTCAAACTATATTTTATTACGTATTTTACTTATAATTTTTAAATATAATTAATGTGTCTAATATAAATAAAAGTTTAATCATTTTATTTTACAAAAATACATATAACGAAAAATTTCGAATCTCTTTCGGTTATTGTATAATATGCTATTGTGTTTTTAAATATAGAAGCTGATGCGCATTCTATCTTATTTGTTGACTTCATTTTTACCTCATATACATGAAAAGGATGATTTTGCTGAAGTATCTAAAAATTTAGCTAGATATATGTAGACCTAAAAATAAATTTTGAAATATCAAAATGATTATGTAGAACGTTCAAGCTAATTTGCTAGAATATTAAAATCTTTTGTAACATTACTTATCATGATTGAGTTTTTTACACAAATATTTTGATAGACTAATAAAATTATTTTCAGATTTGTAACTAAATTTTTAGATATTTCAGCAAAATCGTTCTCTCTGTATATTAATACGATCATAAATCGATAAAAATGATATACACAATTGGAACAATGCACTGAAACTTGAAATCTGGTTAAGGGGAACACAGAAATGTCATATTTACGCGATCAATAGCCGACATGACATGTCAGAAAGTTTTATGCATACACCCGTAAAAGCAGTATGTGTCGAGAAATTAGATCCGATGAAACAAAAATTAGTATCGAAATATTTAATATCCCTTTGTTAAATCTATAATTGAATGCCTCGATAATTTCTAGCGCATTAGAGTGCCAATCAAAATGTGGCATTGAAAAACGTTAATTACATCATCATGTAGTTTCTCGGGCTATAAATAGTCAAAGATTGTAACTAATTAATATCATAATACGGTTTGTCGTCTCTACATAAATGTTAATAAACTAAATCTTATATGACTTGCAAATGGATGGCTATAATTTTTCAGTAATGTCCTTTTCAAGTCGTACGACAAAACGATTTCAATTTTTCGAGATTAAAACAATTTTCTAATTTATGTAACTCCGTGCATAATTTTAAAATTGAACTCTTTTTATCCATTTTGCATGGTTGATCTGAAAATGGCGCGATTTTCAAGCTAAGGAGAACTCGACGGAATTTGAAAGCAAAGTGTTTAGGCTTTAAAACGCTTCTTTCGAAATGCTTCTGTGAATATTTCTGATAAGTTACATAAGTTTGCATTTCATCGTTATCGATTTAACATGGCTTCTTGTTGAAGAGTGCATTCATAATATTTCATAATAATGGGACTCTCTTAAGAATATTATGCATGCGGATTCAAAGAGGGAGGGATAACGTCAATTTTCGCCTTGTTTCGCGATCACTTCTTTTTTCTCGATGACGAGTACGCGGTCGAGCGAGCACATTGCTCGTGTTCGCATTTAAGTTACGTCACCACTACGCCGTTACGTCAGACACGCGTTATGCAATCGTTGCGCACAGCGTGACGGCGCGAAGCACGTTAATGGTAGTAATACAACGGCAATTAGAACGTTATTACCGAAGCGTCGAGAGCACTTAATGTCCGCGCAATGTTCATCGTGAACGCGATTCACGAGGCACTTTGCATCAAGTTCCAGTGCGGGCCAATAGCGCTTCCTTTCTTTGAATATACCTATTCTTCTCTCTTCGATTTCGAGATTCAAAAATTAAATTTATTACATAATCAACAAAAATAAACAATAAAGAAACAGAGTTATAATATAGAAATTCGTTGACAGAAGTAAAACACCGTCGCATTTGCCACAGAAATAGTCTCTAGAGGGAATAGTCTTTATCGAGCAGTCTGTAAATGATGAAAAAAGTCGCGGATGATCGCACGATCTCGCGGCAAGAGGCACTACGATTCGACTAGATTTGATGGTATAAGCTTAATTTCAGTCTCAACCGTTATTATCTTATGTCCGCTATGATCTGCATATTTTCCCCAACTTTTTCCTGGTTATTCTTGGAGCCTTCATTACGCGAGTAAATCGAACGAAGTAAATGCTCGAGAGATGGAAAGGCAGCTTCACGCGATCAAAGAGAACTACATAATTATGCGAATAATAATTATTTTGTAGGACTGGAAATATAACGTACATCTCAAACTCAATGTATTTTGTAAATTGGTACTTCTACCGTTAATATGCAACGTAAACTTTGCAGACTGCTATAAGCATTATAGATAATTAAAATTACGTCAGTCTTATTATGTTCGTCACAAAGTCCTCACATCCCAGAGTATATCATAGAATTTTTTACAGAACTGTACAAAATAATTGTTAAAAATATGTTAGTTTTATTAATATATCAGTTTTTACCCGCTTTACTCTTGTCTCACTACTAACATATTGCAAAAACGTCATGATTTCAGATTCGCGCGCGCGCGAAAACTTATCATTTTCATTTATTATAAATTATCCGGTTTTTCATCGCCAGGAATAGAAAGACGTGTAAAATATTATAGGGGAAATACTACATAATTCAAGAGCTGTCTTAACAATGATAATATTATATTTGCGAAAGTTAAACGAGACGTTATTTTAGATAATAGCTTTCTTAAACGTGTAACATGCAACGTATCTCACATCCCGAAATTATCGTTTAAATTATCTCTTCGAGATCGGAATTGCATATACCTATGTTCGCGCACATGGCATAATTTCTCGCGAGTTTCTCATCCATCATAAACAAAAGTGCCTGCAAATAACTATCAACGACCTCCGCAGTTCGTATCCATTGTAAAATCGTTCTCTGCGAACTCTGAACAAGTTTACCGAGAAGCACAATCGATAGAGGATTTTCGCGCAACATATGGCATTTATGGGGAGACACTCGCACGTCGTGAGCAAAACGTACTTTTCGTTCGTTATCGTCGTTAAATATCGATATCGAGTCGAGAAATGACGTCCGTCTGGACACGTCGCACACTAATTATAACGTGGAAATGAACGACCGGGATTGGTCTCGGGGTCAACGAGATTATCTGTCGGTCGTTGAATTATTCGTACGCACGATAATTCGATTCGGGGATGTCATTCGGCACGGGAACGAGAGACACCGAATCCTTATTTATGGATTACGACCCTACGTTATGGATCGCTTGCTCCGAAAGATCGTTTTTTTTTTCGAGAGAGAGAGGTTTTCTCTCGTTCAAAGCGAGTCGACCAAATCCCATCTTCGATCGTAATTTTAATCCTCTCTACGAATGCGATATGCAATTTTCGAGCAAAACTTTGTCCACAGTAACATGCACATTGCACGATCTTATACATATGTATTATCTTCTTACGAAGTTCTTGAGCTAAATTAGCAAAATGAAATGAGCATTGTGTTTCCCATGATAAATTCTGAAACTTGCGTAATATCTCTCTCATAAAAAATATTTATTTATTCTTTTTAAATTCAGTAAATTATTTTACTCGAGTCAAAAAATTTGATATTTATCTTTATTTCTTAAAAAGTCTATTTTTACTCACTAATTATTTTTTATCGCTGGGAACAAAAAAGTATATAAAGTAGGTATACTTAAAAAAAAAAAGAATTTTCGAAATACTCTTGTCTTCACAATAACACATTACCAAACTTAAAATTAGTTGATGTTATGAAAGCCCTTGATTATTGTATTATATACCTACCAATATACCAATTTATATATTAATACAGATTTTTCGTAACAAAGCAGAATGCATTTTAGGGGGGAATATTGTATATAACTATATATCTCTTTTTAGGTAACTTTTATTATCTACATATTTATTGCGTAATTTAATACTAAAAAGAATATATATATATAAAATTATAAAACGTTGGTATATTATCTGTAGTGTCGTTTTTTGCTTGTAACATCTTTAGAGACTGAAGATTTTTGGTAATACTATTGCATAATTTCATGCGTTTCTTTCAAATCGTATAGATTTTAATATAAAAAAAAAATCAAAATCAATTATCAAAATACCTCTCGAAACTGAAAATTATCGGTCGGAAAATCATGGCAGTGTCGACTGTTATCGTTCTATCATGCGTCGCGGGTACTCGTTAGCAGTTGCTGCGCGGCAGCTAATTAATTAAGGAGTTCCTTAATTAAGAACGCGTCCGCCATTAATCGCGATGCGTTCACCGTACAATCACGGAACCGGCACATAAAATGACGATGGGCAGGTGACTGTCGTAAAATTTAAATTGAGGCACAGACAGATGCGAATATACCGTTTGTGTACTCGCACAATAAAATTACTCGCGTGCAATTACTTTTTACGTCGGCGTCAGCATCTATTCGATAAAATTGACTCAATAATGAACACGTCAACTCCGATATTACTCGATATAACAACTCTGCCAGTCTTACCGCTATACTTAATCGTTTTCATATTTGAACTTTCCCAATGGCCGATACACGTACAGCAGGTAGGTTATAACATCATTTATAAACGGAACTGTTTCGTAACTAGGTATTACATGGGTATAAGCTCAGTTTGTAGAAAGTTAAGCTTCGAGGCATTAAGCCCTTGGGATAGTAAAATATCTGAAAATATTTTAATAACAGATTCCTCAAATTCAGATATATTGATATTTAAAAATTTCGATACACAAAATTAATAATTTATTATAAAGCTTGCAAAGCTGATCACATTTTGTTGTAAAATCATTATTATATAAGTTCTGTTAAAAATGATAAAACAGCTGTAATGATGCACACCTAACAGATTACGAATAAAAGCCATTCGAAATTCCTTGGCTGATAAGTTTAAGCAACTTAGTGCGCACTGCTGCATAAACTGCCAAATCTTCCACTTATTTTATTGTGCATTGTTAGAAAAATGTGTATTTTATAAATCGAGATGTTTGCATTTCACTTTTACACTCAAACAAAATCAGTATATATGGTAACATATATACTCAACCAAATTCGCTATTTATAGTGCACTATTTCGCTAATGCATTGCCAGTTAAAATAAATGCAAATTAAAATATAAATCAATTAAGATTATTAAGATAAGGCAATAGACTTCTTAATTATTTCACATAATTCCTTCAGCTATAAATTCTCTCGACATTTCAAACATCAATTCGTGCGTTTAGATGAACAGTATTAATCTCCAAAGTAAAAGGAATAACATATATTTCTCTTCCAGTGAACGGGCATCTTTCAGGTAAGATTCCGGCGAGGATCGCGTGAAGGGAAACCGAAGGTATAATGCAGCGCCGCGTCGCACTTGGTCAAGGACCGTTAGACAGAACGGGAATATGTTGGCGCCTCATCTTGGCCGCTCTCCAATGTTCCCTGATGATCGTACCCGCGCGTTACTCTGATGCGAGTCGTTAATACTTAACAGTTGACGTTGCCGGTAGCAAACAGAAACAGCCGCATGGATGCAGGACCTTTTCTTACCAAGTTATATAAATGTAGCTTTAAAATCCACTAATGAAGATTTACTTTCTTCAGACTATTCTATACGCACACACATAATACTAAGAAAAGACTATAGATCTTTAAAAGGCGACAATATATTGGATTGGGGAAAATCTTGTTACATATACCTAAAAGGACTTTTATTTTACAATATCTTCGTTAAAAATAAACGAAATGTAAATTTAAAAAAAGGATTTTAAAGCTAGAAATCTCTACTTTCGAAAGGTCATTATTTATTGAATTTCTGTGAGTTTTAGGAAAAAAATTTTCCTTTCACTTTGTGGATCTTTCACGTGTTCAAAACAAATTCTCGATTATTATGAAATATTGAAGATTTCCCTACAAAATTGATTTAAAAAAATGTTTCTACGATTTTTTGTTCCTCAGTTATTCGCCAATTAAAGGAGCATTCTGATTTTGATTGCTCTAAATCCGCTGCCCTTAAACCGTAAGTGACAATTTTGAAAAATTAATTTTTCTTTGAGATAAAATTTATAAAATAATTTATACTATTATTTTCAATGCATTATAAATATTTAATATCTTCCATCTGCAATCACATTTTTACTCTCTCTGTTCAAGTTTTTTTTACTATTCTAAGTTTTCAAAAAGTAATAAAGAAGATTATAATTTTCAACATATTCTATTACATTATTAAGTAGGTTTTTAACAACATATTTCAGTATAGAGAAACCTAGATTTCTTTTATTTCAATAAATAAAATTTCGCTTGTACAAAAATTTAAAGACCCAGGATGTAGACAGACGGTTAATATTCACGAAATGTAAAGTGCAGTAGCATTCGTTCATGGTATCTAGAGTAACGAGAGCAAAGCAAAACCGACGCGACGTCTCGTGCAAGGGTACGCATGTTAGGTATGCAATGCAGCGAGGGAGAAAGAACCCTGTCGCATTTATAGTTCAGGGTCATTCGCGCTCAACTTTGTCCCTCGGACGAATTTGGTCCTTCGCGCCATTTTTTCGCCTCTTTTATATATTTTTCTTTTCCTCTTACACTTAATCGCCGATTGTCTCCTTTTCTCGACAAAACATATAAGCACGCCAGTCTGCAGTTGAACGTGAATATCTATAAAATCGCTCAAAAGAGATTTGTTGTTCAAATTAAGATCAATTTATAACCGCAGAAAGAATTCAGAATGATACTATAACTTTGTGAATAATTTCGTCGAAATACAATAAATAATTAAAAATAAGATTGTTTCGAGTTTATTATAAAAGTCCGCGTCAAATGTTGTCTCAATTTAAGATGCTAAATTCGATTGATATTATTAAATTTCAATTAAAAAGTTGAAAGGGTGAAATTTGTCTTATACATTGTTATATTATAATATATGAGATTTCTCGCGGCACGAAGATAATACGTCTTGTTTGAGGTGAACTAATAAGTCACACGTGGCAGGATAAAGGGCGGATTTGAAAGGTGAGACACACCTGAACCTGACCGCCGGACTGAAAGTTCTTGCCGCACGTAAACGACTTACAACCTCGTATACCGCCGCCAAAGCGGGAAAAAGTTTTAACGGTAAAAGTTTCCCGGTAGTTTAATTACTTGGAAACAATTCCACCTCGCTCAACTCTTCCTACCCTAACAGAAACGCGGCAACTTCCGAAGTGGCCGCACGCACACACACAAAAACGTGCACGCGCACTGTTCTTTTATCCCCACGAAGAGGGAGCGATCTGATCGATTTATTATCTCGGTCGAGTGTCTTGTATTTCCCTATCTGGGAGCTTCGTCGACAAGAACGAGGAAGTTTCTGCATGCTCATTCATTATAACTGCCTCAAACTGTGATACCCGGCAGAAAAATATTTTCGTTCCGTCGAAGGTCAAAGATTAATGCCGAAATAATCACATTCGTGATTAGCATATTAAAAATTCGTACGGAAAATTTTCACCAATTTTATTTCTCGTGTTTTTAATGAAGCCGATAAATAAAGAAATAAATTTTTAAAAAGAGAAAAACGCGTTATTTGATCATTTATTCGTAAAGTTTAGTAGAATATTCATGATGATGAGATAAATAAAATAATAAAAGTATCCAGTTCTAAAAAGAAAATTAAAATAAAATTTTTGTTGCTGATGCAATAGTGATATTAACAAATAAATTTAAACAATTGTAAACAGCGTATCAAATCGTATTAAATACTTATGCCTTTACAATTTACTTTCTAGTTCCACATATAATCTTCGACACATTTGTCTTAAATAATTTCGATATATTTTCCCATTAATAAGTGTTTCTCCAATTTCGTTCGTCGTCAGGAAATAATAAAATTTTCAGTCGAGAAAGAAATAATCCGCGAAAAGTTCTGCCACGCTCGCGAACATAACTCCTGCACACACGCGAAAGTGAAACGGGAACTCGAGTCAAAGTTCGACTGCTCCTTCTACCCGGTAAGTTCGGTCGAAGCTCTTCCGCGTAGCTCTTAAGGGAAGTTGGACAACGAACCTCCGTGAAAGATTACTTACAGCAGCGGTACGACTCGGGAGAGAAGAGACGCGCGCTCTCGCATTCGCATCCGTTGCCCTGGAGGGGTGTCGGATGCGCCAATGGCGCCGGAACTTGTTCTCTAACTAAGTTCCCGCAGCGAGGCCCCCTAACGAAGTAAGTTTCCAGTCGTAAAGCGGAAGTGGCCGCTGTGACGCGCTATACCACGTTCGCCGACCGAACTCGCTCCGCTCGCGGGCTCTTAATCGTTTTCGGGATCCTTTATCGTATCTCGCGCGTGAAATGTGCAGGACACTGCCGCAACGGCGAGGAAATTAGGAGGGAAACGAGATAACGGATTGCGTCAATGTACCTTGGTCAGCGAAAATTATCACCATACCTCTCGTCCCGCGCACGAGTTCTAAGTTTTTTATATTTTCTTTCACGATCCATACAAAAGTACATGAACAGCTAATTAAAGTATATTGTTGGATCATCGATTCTTTCTGCTAAACGAAAACGTAATCAATGATTATACGCTGTAATGCATGCGATGTTACAGCTGATAAGTTCAATAGAGCAGTTGATTTTAAAAAATAGAAACAACAAAAATTTGTAACTTACAGTGAACGGCTTTAACTTGGAATAGTCGACGAAGTCCAGTTTGCGATCTTGCATAAATTCGATCGGCATGGCGTCCTCGTGCAATTCAGCGCGTGCCACGAGAGGATAAAAAGTCTAAAAACAAACACGTAATTTTCGATTATATGTATAACTATTCCAGTCGAAATAACATTTTAATCCTATTCATCCAAGCAACATATTTTTATCGTTCAACGTGCACATGCTGCATTTAACTAATTCCATTTACATTAAAACGTTTTAAAAAGCTGGATATCATTATGAAAGACGTAATATAATAATAAAATTTGCACCAGAGCGTTTTTAAAGAACGATAATTAATTCATTTATTTAATGAGTGATTATCCTTTAATTTTACATAAATTAATTTTAACGAATTAATTAAAAATTACAATCAATTGTTGAATAAAAATGAAATTAGCTTATTATTCAAAGGAAAATTATTTTAAAAATGTACTTGTATTTTACAAAGAATATAAATGTTTTAATCTCTTTGTATACAGATAACAGTTTTAATTTAATGACATCAGACATTAAATAAAAATGATTATTATTTACATATAAAAGGAATAGAAATAAAGGTATTAACATTTACAGCAATAATACTTGACCAATATTTATAAAACGCAGCATTCAGACCTTTTAATATTTCTTTACAACAAAAACAGCATAGAAGGCAAAAAATTTAAATATATATGTACATAATTATATTTTTGCGTTGTTCACAAAATAAGTAAGCTTATTCAATCGAAGCATTAAAATTTTAATCAGAAAAAGAGAGGCGCCGAGCTAATGGAATGTGACAGTTCGTTTTGTAGCGGTTGAATTGTATCGATGTAAAATTTATTCAACGGTGAATTGAGTATTTCATTAATTAACCACGAACTGATTAATATTCGAATAGTATCGCGAGCATTTCTCAATTATCATCGTTAAAATATGAGAGATATGCATTAAAAATAGTAAATCGTGACAGTTTCTCTGTATAATTCGAAGGAAATCACACGTGACAGATTACTACCGCATTCAGGCGTAAATATTGTATCGTATAATCATTTAAATCGTGGTAAAAATATTCTTTTAACAATATCGTATAATTTCTGTAATCTATATTTCGAAACAAGGCAAGATAGTTCTGTAATTCGTAATGTGATCAACACAAAAAGAAAGAACTTACTTTTCGTTTTCGAGTTATATTTAACGAAAATTTGGAGAGGAGCACCTCTCTTTATTTGTTCTCCTCACACTCTAATTCGGAAACTACTAAATGATGAAAAATCACTACATATATACAAAAGAATTGCGATAGAAAAAAATATCGATATCTTTTTCTTTGAGAAAAAGCAAAGCAAGGTCATTTAAGGATTCGTATAAAAACGCCCATAAGAAATAGATACAGTTTATTTATACTTACAAGAGCTGGCCAAGCAACAGTGTCGGCGATCGCCGTGGCGCCCCTGAGCGGTTTCCCGTTAATGCGGTGCTGATGGTGGTTATTGTTCGCGTGATTATGATGATCGATGGGGATGAGACTGGCGTGCCTGGGGTCAGGTCGTTCAGCCCAGTAGAGACCTCTTTCAATGAGAAAGAAGGAAAATACGGCATCCCTATGTGGTGACAGCCACTCCCTCCTTTGCCATTCCACGTCGTCGTACTCTACGAGAATCTGCAAGCATATTTGATCGAACGCTTATATATACGTAATATAATAAAATGACTAGGGGCGAGAGAAAGCTCAAGAAACGAAGCTCTCACTCAACAAAAATGAATCGATAATATTGATTGATGATATAACTTTGAAATAAATCAAGATATCCGTGTACTTTTTCCTTTTTTTTTTTTGTTAAAATAATTAATATTTTAATTAATAATACGTTGCAGGTAATGTAGAAGCTACATATCTTTGTGAGAGACGTAATATAAAAACTATTTTGCGAATAATCCCTTTAATTAAACAGCATTACGGGAACAATTTTCTGCTTAGCCATTTTGTAAAATTGTAACATAACAATGCGCCTTGTCCGTTGTTAATTAGAGACTTTCAAAATAACAGGTGCTACATAATGAAATCTGTGTAGGTTCTACTTATTCCACGGAATCATGAGAGGTTAAGGATTAAACCATTCTCGACAACGAGCGGTTATCATGCGAACGATGCACGGGGCGGGACCTTTTCAGCTATCCATGTAACAACCACCCAGTTAATTATCAGCGCCTATTATCACGATATTCATGCACGCTTATCGAGCCTCTCGTTCGCGTTCCTTCAGAAACGCACGCAATGAATTTGAGCGTCGATGGTGAAATTGTCTCGACTATGCCGTACATATTTACATAGAGAGAGAGAGAGAGAGAGAGAGAGAGAGAGAGAGAGGGGGGGGTGGTACATGGAAATGGTGCAATTAATATGTATTATTCATAACCTCTGGCCTGAAGCAGAAAGTGCTGGCTGCTAGGATAACGAGGGGGTCATGGAAGCGGGATGTAGCAGAATCCGCACGCTCGGTTTACTCTCGGGCTTTGTCAACGCGACTGGGATTTGGTCGGGGAGCCGATTTACCGAATCAAATAACGGATAGTCATTCTGTATGCTCTCGAAAGTGCACGCTCTACTTTAGTCTAAAATTAAATAAACGTTTACTCCTACCGATTTTCTTCAAATTTAACAACATAAAGTATAAATTTAGATCAAAACTCCATAAGCTGCGGATTTTTATTAAACTTTAAGTGAATTCATCAGATAATTAAAAAAAAAACGTAATATCCAGCGCCTTTCCCACGCAGAATTTTTAAAGCTTGAAATGACCTTCCATCTTCAGCCATTTAAGGTAGCGTAATTACAAAACGTTACGTCCAGACATCACGAAATGTTTGCGCGATGTACATTGTACATAGGTGAGAAAGATCCTTTCCATGTAGGTACAGATCGACACAAGAATGTGTGCGTATTATATTTATAGAATACTTCGCATCCGGTTTTAGATTCCCTCGGAATATCATGCAACCCCCTCGCCTGTCTGGCATGACTGGGGTCATCGTAATCATAAGGGGAGAGCGTGACTCGGTGCGGTCACGACTTGGCGCGTCAGCCAATTAATTGATAAATCAGCATTTATGGGCGAAACGCGCTCGTAGAAATCGTCGCACCGTGACCGCCAATACTAAATTCGGTGTGTTAGGCCAAAAAATGTTCATAATTTACAGCGCGTGTTGTGATATATAAGATTAAGTTAATTATATAAAATTAATCGTATATAAGATTAAAAGATAGAACGTGTCAAAAGTTAGAAATATGAAGGAAAAACTAATTTGTAAAAATGTATAGATAAAGCAGAGAATACATTAAATGTGTAAAATATCAGTGAGATAAAAGCATTCGATAAAAATTACATATCAGCAAAGTCTGCAAACAATAACAGAGACGTGCGATGATTCAAAATTTACCGGCGTTGATAATATATCTAATAATAATTGTGTCACTATCTATATTAACTCATCTCGATCTTTATCCTTTTGTGATCGAAAGAAACGGCGTGGGGCATAAATTTGCATTTGTATGACTGCGGGAAATTAATTAATGTGTCTGGAAGTGGCGGTTTGGCCAGACTCCGACTATGGCACATCGTTAACATCAATAATAATTCGCGACCGTTATTAATCGAACGCGCAAGAAACGCGAGATGAGGTACGAGGCGCGGTTGGTTTCCGGGTACGCGAGTGGAGCGTGACGGCGCATAATTGCGAAACGTTAATCGGTTAATTAATAAGTAAATATCTACGGGGCGCAACGGCCGTTAATAATAGGCGAGGGAAGCGCCACGTAAACGATACACGGATGATTAATAATAACGCGATATCGCGCTCGCTCGTTCGTTCGCTAACTATATAGATGCGTTTAATAGCGCTGCTGCTGGCACGCAATTCGAATCGCGGGGTATTCGGCACCGGCGGGGTTATGTCAGGAATTGTAATCCGTTTTCGCAGGAATCTCTCTTCCATATTTCCATGTTCCGCGTGTCCGGATTACCCGCGCATCGGGGATGCCACCCGGACGACGTAATCGAAAGTGCGACGAATTCCTTCTAGTTTATCAAGAATTCGCGTCGACGAAGCGTGTTGCAAATACTAATGGTGATCAAAATAAAAATTACGAGAATCGTTTTAGCATAAGAGAATTTTTCAAGAGTCCGATTACGTATTATCTGCACTTTCATTATTTCGCCACAGCTTGATATACATAATGTTATGTGTATTGGTTTTGTCTCACATAATTCTATACTGTGTGTGAATATTTGTTTACAATTTATAAAATAATTCTCAGTACACAAGTGTTTGCAATTTTGCGAAATCGGACATTAATTTTTTATCGCAAACCCTGATCACTAGAAAAGTATAGTTTATCGTATCGTCATTTTATTTTAAAAACTACTTTAACATTAACTATCTGCTTTATGTTTAATTTAATTCTGACTACTTTGCAGCAACTTTATTACACAACGTAATAAAGAAAAAAAAACATTATCCTCTATTATTAAATTAACTGTAAATTATTATATCTTTCAGAAAAGAGAATAATCAATACGGCAGAGTCAATAATATATTATACATAATTGCCTCCATTTCTTTCAAACAGTGAAAGTTGCTTCAACCAATTCTCCCTGAAGATATCATATAATTAAAGGAGAAGTGCTGTTTATGCGATTCATGTAAGGTACACTCCAGTCTATAGCAATAATCGATGACAACAGAAAAAATTCATCTTTCCATTCTCTAGCATCGACAAATAGACTTCAACAATTTGCTGATAAATTAAACAAGTAGAAGTACAGTTTATACGATCCGTCAGGTGAATTTTCGAATCAAGAATATACCGTGCCTCTGACAGAAGCAACTTGTCGGAATGAAAAATAATCAGGTTACGAATGTCCAGAACAAATCATCTCACAACACATGAAAACTGTCTGGAGTACAAGAACTATCCCCCGAATGCAAAAGCGATCTCTCGCCCATGTCCCAGACAATCTCGGAGGGTGGCAATATTCCCGGTACCAAAGCTGGTTTTAACCCCTGGTTTCAGGGGACGCTCACCAGGTGGCGATATCTCTCGGAGTGGAGGACCATAATGGCCGCCAAGGCCATCACGCTCCGCCTCTGGTGAACGCCAAGCACCGCCCAGATGGTTTCCCGGGTAACCATCCAGACCGGCCATTTTGCCATCGCGACCTACCACAACCTTCTCCTACGACCATGGACGGATGGTCTCCCTCCACTGCTTCTGAGCCCCCCTTCCAGTTCTAAGCACCATTCTGTCCCCCCCTCCCTCGACCCTTTTCATGTTTCCCCACTACCAGACAGCTCCCAGTGTGGCACCAGACTCGTGCTTGTTTCAGACGGAGATTAGGAACTAGGCGGCTTCGTTTCACTAATCATCGTCTACCGATAAAATACTCGATAATTAACTATAATAATAGAGTATTAACTATAATAATAATAATAATAATAATAGAGAAAAAGAGAGAGGGAGAGTTTGTACGTAAAAAGCTTAAAAATAGCCAGATTATGAATTACAGAGAAAATATTTTTAATTAAAATATTATAAACAATAAAGTCTAGTTTAATTAACCTATAATCAAAATAATATACAATATTTTGATAAACAAAATCATATTTTCTAATGCGTCTTCTAATAAGAATATTCACAGTTAATAATTAATAAATAATATGAATCCTTTGGTAAAGTAATATAACATTCTTTGATTTTACATCTAAAAATTATAAACGTTATCTTAAATACTCTTACGTATACATTCATTTATTAACAATAAAATTATGATTATCCGTAATGTGTAATATTTCGCAACATACACGTAAACGGCTAACGATGTTAAATGTCGACGTGTAAAAATAAACAAGCTTGCACGCGATCAGTCGCGACGGTGATGAAAACGTTTTATTATTGCTTACATCGAGACTTGGATAGAAGGAGAAAGAAGTGCGACAGAATTTTATTACATGCTTCGCGATGTGAAATCCCTTAAGAGAACTCAGTCTCCCATACCGAGAAAATATAGCACCGCAGTTATGAAGAAAAGAAACAGATGTTAACCTGTGACATAAACCAACTAAAGTTCAATTATTGTTTTCTCAATTAGTTTATTGGAATCTAGGTAAAAAAAATTAATTTTTTCAATAATTGTATACAGTTACAGGAAAAATATTATTAATAAAATAAAATTCTTAATCTACCTCTAATATATTTACATCATATCTTTTATCATTTATAGTTGTATTTGTTATAATGCATTTTTATCTTTCTTGCTAAATTTATTAAATTAAAGATTTTAGATTTTACAATTAAATTATATAAAGTTTATTCTCGAATAAGCCATATCGTGTCAATTGATAGCATTTTATCGGTTATTGATCGCTTCGAAAAGAATAGACGTTCGTTTTGACGTTTAATGGTATATTTTAACGAAACGTCGCATATATTAAATATAAATAGAGTTATTATTAGAATTTTGTTATCATTTATCATAAAATTTGAAGACTTAATTAAACATTTCTAGCTTCGATTTAATCTCTGATTTGCTTAGATTATAAAATCATATTTAGAGATATCGCATTTAGAAAAATCAGCACAAACAAGAGAATTCTAAACTTACAACGGAATCGTCGGAACACTCTCTCATTGATAGGATTTATATATATACACACATATATTGTAACATTGAAAATGACCCGATCGGAGTCGAAACGTCTGTATTATTTATATTTATATTAAACTTTTTTGTATTATTTAAACTTCTTTGTATGATTGTCATCATTTAAATTTAAATTTGTTTTACTGACTCTTTGCCCTTTTTCTATATATACGTTGTTTTTATACTTATAGAGCCTTATAACTTGTATTATTTTTCATCATTTTTTCTCAAGATTTTGAGAGACTTAACAATTTCTTGAAAATAATAGATTTTTTCATTTTTAACAAAAAAATATCTTCGAAAATATAAGTATAAAAAATATTTAATATAAAAGTTTTATTATACTTTATATTCTTATATAATAACAATGTATTCATATTTTTCGAAAATCTCAAAAATAAATCCATTATTTTTAAGTTGATTTGATAACAAAACCACGAAATAAACCGATAAAAAATATAAACCTTTGTGATATTTTTTTATATTTTTTCCAACATATCCGAAATTTGTCAAAATCAATGAGATATATGGTTCTCTTGTTAATATCAAACACGATTTGGTTATTGTTATGATATTGTATTATGATAAAATACGTTAAAATATTATAATTATAATCAATTACCATATAATAATTCGTATTAAACCGACGAGAACAAATCAATTTAGCGAAATAATTTTCGGTCAAATTGAATGTTAGTGCTTAAGTATTTCAGTATAAATGTATGTATTGTATACATATCTAATTCTGCAAACTGCGTATCGAATCATTTCAATCTTGAAACGTAATCATAAATAGAACTAGAATAATAATATTATATATAGTATATTAAATTAGCGAGCAATTTAGCAACTTTTAATGTTCGTAAGCATTTTAGAAGGATATTGATAATTTTATTATTATATAAGTATATTAAAAGCATCTTATAAACTGTAAATAAATTATTGCGAAAAATATTATCTCACGGAGGTAATATTTTTCGCAATTCGCAATAAATTATTTACAGTTTTTAAAATACTTGATGCATTGAAAAATATTTTGGCGTACAGTTTACAGTATTGGATATGCATATATTAATTCATACTGAAATACTTGAGTTACAAAATCCGCTTTAACCAAAAATAAAATTGTTTCTCTTATAATTGAATAATATAATATTTGTAATTTGTTAAAAATACATCGATTCCAAAATCCTATTCGTCTTCACATTATCTGTTTAAAAAAAAATTATTGCAAAAGGCATACTAAATATTAAAAACATAAAAAAATTTATGCTAAAAAATTGAAACAAACTTTCCGAACAACCTATAATAATATGAACAAAATATGTGGTCGCTATTAAAAAATGCCTCAACTAAACAATTTTGCTGAGGACACTAAATTTTTTTCCTAGCGTGGGATCTTAATTGGTAAAAAAGGATTTAAATTGAAAAAAGAGCCGTTTCGCGGCTCTTTCTTGAAAGGTTTATAGGTCTACAGGGATGACGCGCGACCTTGTTCACAGCAACATCGATTTTTCCATTTTGGCCTCGTTGGCCGCAAACATGAGCGGGAACGGAATATATACGAATGCCAACTATCCAAGCGGAGGTTTTAGCACAGAAGAGAAAGAAAAGGAGAGAGAACGAGAGAAAGAAAGAGAGCGCGCACGTCAATATCCTGTCAAGCACCGCGCGCGTGCACATATCGATACGGCCGGCCGGCTTCCTGTTATTTCGCCGGCCTTGTTCGCCGCTCGTAACAACGCGCCGTTCCGATCCAATATTCGATCCGCGGGGGACGCGATGACGTAAGTCTCTCGCGTCTCTCGTTTCTGTACACGCACACATACATCCGCGACCTGCTCCCCGTGCCTGTCGCGAAACGCGATTTCCCTTCTCACCGCGCGAGAGAATTCGTATAGTGGAAACAGCGCGCGCTTGTCAGACGCGCGTGAAGCGAACTTTCCCTCGGCTGTCGCATCCTGTCAGGCTGAAACGACAGTTTCGGGTGAATCCGCATGCGACTCCCTGCTGTCGATTATTCCTGACACACGAGATGAATCGCGTCGGGTTAAAGAGTCTTCATTTAACCGATCATTAAATTTCTTTTGTTGCGCTATTAAACTCACGGCCCATCCGCAATTAAACTGCAGCTCAGTGAGTTTATTCATAGAGACACTTGATTAGAATTTTTTATATCCTTACATTTTCCTACATGTATAAAAAATAATCTCTTTCCTATCTATTTAGAAAAGTTGCTATTATTATTATTATTTAAAAAATATCTCTGTAATTTATAATTAATATAGAGACGCATTAATTATCAATAATTTCGGTAATACCCGAACAATTTAATGTTTATTTATATTATAAAAAAATTGAAAAAATCACTCGCTCGATACAAATTCTCTAAAAAATTAGTTGTATATGTACGCACAGAAAAATTATGTTCAATTAAAAAAATCATTTCTTTCATTGATATTTTTTAAATTAAAGTAAAATTACTTTTGAGGAAAATAAAAATTTATTTAATTTCAGGATATAACATTTAAATACAAAAAAATGTATTTAGTTTCAAGAAATGACGTTTAAATAAAGAAAACTGTTCTTTAATCGTATTTTAATGCTCAAGTTTCTTTTATTTAAACAATTTTTTGTTTAATCAAAAACATTTTTTTCTAGGTGTAATTCAATACTATTTTTTGAATGATTAAAATAAGAAATAGGTGACCTGACCCGCAATATCGATTGGTATAATTCAACGATAAGTCACACCACACAGTCTGTGCACAACGTAACACTTTTATACCTTTATAACGAAACTTGTCATTCGCTTTCGAGAATCGTTTGAAATAAAAACGAAATTTATACTGCTCTCATTTTTTATTCCGCTTTGTCTCACTTACGATAATTGAAGCAATGACTTCATTTGATACCTTCAACGGTGGCGCCATTGGAACGACTTTTTTTTCGAGTGATCTGTAAGGGAAATGTAAGTGAAAAAATGTAAATTTATCTTTTACTTCATCCCCGTTATTCGCATTGACTTGCCTCGTTGATTTTCCCAAGTCTATTTTTGCAATGCTTTCTGTTGCCTTATCGTTAAATACTAAATTGGAGGACACGTCAGTCAAAAACTGACTGGTTGTCCGCTCTGTCGACTCTTAATGTCGAGTTGTTATGCCACTTCCCTCGCACGTAAGCGTATTCCGGCGCTTACAAATAGTCAACGACTGTGACGTCATGAATACAATAAAGGAGAAACCGCACTACACCGATAGAATAGAAACCACAGCGGCTTTCCAAATCGACTTTCCGAAAGTCGCGATCGTACGCAGCAAAAAAGAAAGGAAATTTAAATTACTGATAAAGAAGTTACTTACAAAATTAGAAACGTCCAGCAAACAAAAAAAGTTACACGTTTTTCGATGTAAAATATAAGAAAAAGTTATGAAAAAAATTTTAACGTATAATTAAAAATATTCAGTTACGACAGTTTTCCATTGAAAACGCAAATTGAATTGTG